GAAAGTACTTTATTAAGTAAAATTGCTTGCAAATGCTTAGGTAACTTAATCAGACAACATTCCAAGGTTCTTCTTCACTTTTCATTATATGGAATTAAATCCAATGATTAGTTTGATAATACAACAGTAAACTAAATATTGTATTTTATTATTTGGTGGCTACTATACTACTACATGGTGACTATACAAGTCCATTGGGCTATCTGGGGAAGTAGGATAACCGAAGAAATAACTAGTGGATTAACGCAAAAGAAGACTAGATTGATTGATTTGAATGTGATTCCTTTACAATCTATCGAGCGCATATGACTATTATTACAGTACCTTTTCACAAAGCATGTTCGAAACTCCTGAGTTTTAGCCATGAATCTATGTGTTCTTCATGTAATAGTGCTTCGAGGATTGCTGCCTTTGAAAAGAAAGTAATCACATCTATTGTTTTTTATAAAGCAAAATATGTTTGTCATGTCATCAATCAGTGCAGTTGATAAGCAAAGCATACTATCTAAGAATTATGTTCTCCTGTCAAAAAGAACACTCTCTATGAGCATTCTTAATTAATGACGATTGAAGGAAAGGTATTGACATTTTAACATTATCTCAGACAGTTACTGACATCAAATTTTGACTGCTTATCACCCCACAGCAGGACCTGCATCTATAGTAGGACTTGATTTGATTGAAAAACCTTAAATTACCATTTCATTAGTCTTTCTTCTAGGCAAAATTAGATAAGGGATTTTCTAGTAGTTTGCGATTATTTTGCTGCTAGTTTTTTGGACTGCTCATATGCAACGTTCATGTGTTAATAAAATAAGTCAAAAAATGAAGAAACTGTTTTAAACTAATTTCGAATATGTATGAATATCCTATTGCAAAAAAAGCGTTTTGTTCTCTACACTCTTCCTAAAACTAAACTAGTAAAATTCTTCGGAATCTTAACTAAGATTCACAGTAAAAGAAATCTACAACTGATTGGACCTACTTAGGATTGCGAAACACAAATCGCCTTAGCGGAGCTTGTGAGCATTGGAATTTGGAAATTCTGCCGCAGAATTGGAGAGACGAAAGGGATGGAACAACTGAAAAAGTCAAACGAGATATTCTGCCGTGGTAATGGAAATTCAAGCACTAAATAATTTTGGCTACCTTGATTGTACCATTCTAAACAAATTTATTTTATATGATGTCAATTTAACCCTAAACTTGTGCTTTAGCTTCTGATTAGTACCATTAGTTCCATTTTTAAAGAATGGGAATGTTTTAACGATTCATCAACTATGTACTATGTGTACGCTTGTCTCATAGTCAATCTATAGTGTGAGCTACAACTTGAATTGACTTAACGAAAAAGACTGTATTTCTCACAGAGGCAATACCTTAAAACAGCAACCCATTTATTTAAGAACATCACAGTAGTAAAGAATGGAGCCACAATTTTAGTATTGTGCTTCTTTTCCTTATCCTTCCAGTAGGCCTACTTTAGCAAGAATGTCGCTCAAAACATGCGTGTTTTGAACCACAGTAAAATTATTCTGGAAAATATTTCCCGAATAAACCACACTTAAAGGGGTCAAAAATCAAAGCAATATACTGCAAGACGCCTTTGTTTATCCTCGTTTCTAGAGTATTTAAATGCAATAGACTGGTAGGTATCACTATGTACTCTCAATTGTCTTCTCCAAAGTACTGTGTAATGGATAGTCGTTGTAGCTATCATGGAGATTAGCCAACAAGTTTCTGAGCGGGTTTTAGTAGTTCACGTGACATCTAAACTCGTTCTTCGAAGACAGGTAATGCTGGAATATCAAGTGCTTGCGAAAAAATAATTTAACTTTTATTGGTCCAACATCTTTTTGCTTGACCTACCGGTTCCAAAAAGAGAGTTTAGTTTTGACTAGTGTCCGCCTTATGCGGACCATCAACCTTTATTTCTTCAAATTTTTTCAAATAGTTCTCTACTTCCATGAACGAATAGTCCAATTTATAAAAAAAAAGAATTAACCACGGTTTGACAGAATCAGTAGCAGTTTATTCTCATTAGATAATAGCAACTCTAAAAATCTCCTCAATTTCTATTTGAAAGACAGCAACTCAGCGGTGATATCATGACCAACTATTCAAAAACTGACCGTGCAAAACATATTTGTGGAACCGATGGAACACTAAAGTGCCCAAATTTGGCTGTCAAAATATTTTAAAGTCCTTCTTGAAAGAAAATATTGTCTCTAATTTAGTGGGGTTTTTTTGAATGGCGTCATGCCTTTTTTTTACAAATCAATAGGGAGTAGAAGGGCATTTTTTTAAGGAGCGTAACGAATCAAATCAAACAGCGGTCATTCCTGGTATACAGCTATCAAAAAAAAGAAGGGAAAGGGAACTAGAACAGTGTATGTAACATGGAACAGATCGAGTGTCAATGAAAAGTCCATAATCTTTTCAAAAAGTCGAGAAGCAAAACTCTAAAAGCTCCAAAAACCTTAACCACAATAAGAGAGTGAAGACGATGTCGGCTAACTCAGCTCAAAGATATCTGGAGCTTGGAATTTTAAGTGTTTGCAGAGCACTTCGACTCGAAAATCTGCGAATCTACACTGTGCAAACAATAGCCTTCCCTTCATATAATGGCAAAAGTCTCGCTAGCATTTAGTTGAAGCTTCCGCGACCATCACCTCATCTCCAAAAGGGCAAAAAATTTCAAAAGAGATTGTTAGATCTATATGTTGAACTGCTTCCTGCCTTCTACAATATCCACGCCTACTCGTAAATTAGCTGCTCGTAGGCCTGGCAAAACGATTCGCCGCCGTGCATAACAGATGCTTCAGTAATTGGTTGTGTAGACGGAATGGCGCTGTTCGCTGCACAAAAATTCATTTAAAATACGCACATGTACAAGTCAAACAAGAGCTTTTAATAGTTCATTCATATGTAGCCCAAGGAAAGCACAAAGGGGGACAAAGTTGGATAAATGCACATTTGAAATTGTACTATATGACATAAACACATATTTGAAGCAGCAGGCAAAATAAGCATCTGAATCCCAGAAAAGCAGGATTGAAGAAATCGATCGTGGGTGGGGTGGCGGCGCTGAATGAGGCAGCATTCGACCGCTCACAAAGCCGACTCCAATGGACCACATGCAGCACCACTTACACCAAACTAAGAATTTTTCTAGGATGAACATCTGGGAAAATTCCAGAGCTTCTGTCACGAACCAACCACACGAAAAGCGACTAAAATAAGCAGGATGAGGAGTATAATTATAAAGAGAATTAGAAGCGCTATGATGATGGCTAAGCGACGCTCTCTCCAAAGCTCGGCTAACTTCTTTCTCGGCGTTTTTACTGTTGATGGCGAACCTAAACTCGACGATTACACAAATTATCCGCCAAGTGTTGGCGCATAAGCAGCTCTCGTCGGCGCGAACCTTTAGTAAGTGTGAAGATCGAGGGTTTGTCCATGTCAACAACAAGCTTGTGTTGTTTCGCTGTCTCACCATCACTTGGGAATTCCGTGCCAGAAATACGGTAGTCCTTCATTATGATAAAAACTATGATAGAAGTGGGTTGCACAGAGACGGCGGTATGTCGGAATCATCGGCAAGTCAGCCGACAAATTTCTTTGTCATAACATAGACGTAGGCGGTCGACTCATCATTGATTTCACTTCTCGTTTCACTATGTCGACTTGCCTTTTTAGGAGTTCCCTCATGCTTTGGAGGTTCATGGTAGATTGAAAAGGCTACCTGTTGTTAGGATTGATCTTATGCGCTTTCACCGCGATGGATGACGACAGTTAGTAGGATGAATCCAGTTAGAGCATAGTTTGTTACGAAGTGTGGATTTGTGAATGTGCGATGTAGTCTGGTGAAGTAATTGTGGCAAGGGTTGCTGAGTGCATCGATTTTGAAAACGAATTATTTCCAGCGTCGATTCTCCAAACAAGTTGTTTTCCGGAGAATTCGAGACGCCCGCACTGTGAATCGTGTAAAAAACAGCATTCGACTAGAATCAAAAAAATCTAAACGGAATACTTTCAAAAAATTTCTCGGCACTACACTTACTCTGCTTTATGACAGATTAATCTACTTGTTAAAATATGGAAAATTGCAAATTTCCTATAAACGTACTTCTTTCCAGCCTTCTTTAGCGTTGATTTTCATTCGAAAGCAAAGTCCAATAGGGGAATGTGACTTCTTTGTTTAGTTGGAAATTCCAAAGAGAAGAATGCAGAATGAAATGAAAAAAGAAAAAGTGGCGTCACAGAAACAAAAATTCATAGGATGTTCCGCATTCATGAGTGTAACTCACAAATCATCAAGAT